TACCATCACCCGACACTGTAACAACATCTGTGACCGCTTGGTCGTGATATCGTTGCCGTCAGGAGGGATTTATTCTGACGATCATGGAAGCGTGTGAGGCTAACAGTAATACGAGCATGACGTTTTTGTCTGAAGACTATACGTTCATAATAACATTAACGATATTGAAAAACATCGTCTTCCTGCAACGTATAGCTGAAAATGCGCAGATGTTGACTGAGCAAAAGTTTTGTTGACGTAGAAAATTATCCAAAAAAAAAAAAAAAAGAAAAGGTAAAATACCCTTCTTCCACATCAGAAGTTGTTTTGTGCATACTAAACATATTTTTTTTTAGCCCAATGGGTACTCGGCGAGTGATGTGGTCTAAATCATACCGGCCGCTTTTGCTTCCCAGGACTGCACCTGGTACCCATTTAAGGCTGGGTCGACCTGGAAGCAAATGCCCCTAAAAAAAAATGCCTGCCACCGTCATGAACCGAACCCACAACGAAAACAAAAGAACTAAAAAGACGGTTTTTCTAGTCCTGTTGAATCTTATCGGATGAAGCAACATGTTTTATCTACTAGCCAGGATCAGAGGGGAGTCTATTACCCGCAGTTTCCAGTTATTTGTAGAGCTCCAGAACTACGTTTTTGTCCTGTTTATTGGAGTCACGGATGGACGCTGTGTCTATAACCTACTCCCATAGTTTCCATTATTGTGAACATCGTAGAAATGTGGAGAAGCACTGGTAGTGGAGCCTCCTACCCTACCTGACTATTGTTCTTGAAACGGAGAATAAGATATTGTATTGTTACATTAGCCTAGAAACGGATGACATGTAACTGTAACTGATCGTAAGGAGGTGTGCTGGGCATGCGTGCGTATGTGTGTATATATGTGTATGTGTGGGTGTGCGTGTGTGTGTCTGTGTGTGTGGGCGTGTGTGTGTGTGTGTGTGTGTGTGAAAGAGATAGCGAACACGAACCAGATTGATAGAGACAGAAAGATTGCGAAAGATTAAGGGCCAAAGGAAATCGTGAAAGACAGAGAGAAAGATAACGAAAGAATGGTATAAAAATATTTAAGAAAGTAGTTAGGGGTTGGGAGAAAAAGTGGGAGGGGGGCGGGGGAGAGGGGGGGGGGTTGAGAGACTTTGAAAGTAATAATAGAGCATAACAGACACAATGTGAAAACAACGTGAGAACACAAGAGCCAACGGGAGAGCGGGCTAGCGATATTAACGTGTAAGCGGGAGAAAAAGAGCTAGACAGACAGACAGACAGATAGACAGACAGACAGACAGACAGACAGACAGACAGACAGACAGACAGACAGACAGACAGACAGACAGACAGACAGACAGACAGACAGACAGACAGATAGATAGATAGATAGATAGATAGATAGATAGATAGATAGATAGATAGATAGATAGATAGATAGATAGATAGATAGATAGATAGATAGATAGATAGATAGATAGATAGATAGATAGATAGATAGATAGATAGATAGATAGATAGATAGATAGATAGATAGATAGACGGACGGACGGACGGACGGACGGACGGACGGATGGATGGATGAGAGAGAGAGGGGAGACCAAGATAGAAAAGGCCATAGAAATATGAACGATTCAAAAGGAGAGAAAGGGAGACAGGAAGTGCGATAGAGAAGATTTAGAGGAAGAGAAAACCAGCGAGAATAGGTAGGAGCGAGATACAGAAACTGAGTAAGGGTAAGAGCAGAGAGAGAGAGAGAGAAAGAGAGAGAGAGAGAGAGAGAGAGAGAGAGAGAGAGAGAGGGGGGAGAGAGGGAGAGAGAGAGAGAGAGAGAGAGAGAGAGAGAGCAGCAGCAGCCAAGAATAAGACTGAAAAAAGCGTGCAAGCAACAACAACAACAACAACAACAACAACAAAAACTGACCAGTATTTCCCACGCGGCTATGCGTAACAAAAGAGAGACTAACGGTCATGTCTGGTACACCTGTGTCCGTGGAGAGTCCACAGGGGTTTAATGACGTGGCCTTAACTGAATATAATCCCCATCTGGAATTACATAACCCCAGTGTTATCGTGTGCCCTCCGCGTATTCTCCGATGACGCACATGCACGTGCACACATATGTAAACACGCATGCACGTCGTGCCTGGCCACAGACCAGACACAAATAAACAATGGCCGCCGAACACGTGGTGGTTATTTCTGTAATGAATTAGTTGCCCCAGAAATCTGGCTGGGTGATCACGCATATAGGGTGGGTCGATTGTCAAGCAAATCCGTATAGTATACATTCTTACATATATGGCAACTGTTAATGTTTCGTGGTCCCTATGTCTCGGTAGATAGATAGATAGATAGATAGATAGATAGATAGATAGATAGATAGATAGATAGATAGATAGATAGATAGATAGATAGATAGATAGATAGATAGATAGATAGATAGATAGATAGAATGAATGAATAAATGAACTTTATTTTCAAAGGGTCACAAATTGGGCACGCAGGCCCGTCTTACATTCGGCCCTTCCAGTCAACCATCTTTCACACAGCAGTTGTATTTTACTAATAAAGCATGTTATGATCCTATGATGTTATGAATATTATGAATATTATAGAAGAACACAAAAGCATGAGTTGTAAAGTGCATGCAAAAACCCGCGCGTGCATACATACACCCACATACACACGCTCACCCAATCACTTACACACACAAACATGCATGCATACATTACACACATACATACAAACATGCATACACACAGGCATACGTACACACAAACATACATACATAGATACAAACATACAGGCATACATACATACATTAATACATACATACGTAATACAGGCATACACACATACAGTCATAAATACAGTCATGCATGGAGACACACACATGCACACACGGACACTCCCACAGAGACACAAACACTCAGACAAAAATACAGACACACACACACAGACACTTTCATATAAACACACACAGGGAAACACACAGAACACATATTTACATTCGTGCTCACACACTGACACACACCACACATACGCAGACAAACATGCAGACACATACATACAGAAACATAGACACACACGCAGTCAAACACACACACACACACAAATACGACCCCATCTCGTCGCCTTCAAAATTTCTAGAGTTTTCATCAGACGCACCTAGCTTTATATATATATCTATACAGAGATATATGGCTCATAAACAGCATCCTGTCCTGATAGTTGAAGTATTTTGGCCACACCGAGCATCATGGTGGTTTGGAGAAGACGGTAATGGAAGGTGCAGTTTGTGGAAGGCGAGGCAGAGGTCAACCACCGCAAAGATGGAAACATGACATTGACGAAGCATTGGCATTTAAAGTACATAGGGCTGGAAAGCTGGCTAGGGAAAGAGATACTTTCAGACGTGCTGGGAAGAGAGCGACGTTCTGTAAAGAACTGCCTGATTGATTTTATATATATATATATATATATATATATATATATATATATATATATATATATATATATACATAGGTTCTCCTTGCAATAGCAGTCGCTACTTGGACGGCAACGGCCGCTTAGTCGGAGTTCAGTCCCCTGGCTGCAGTACAATTACGGAGTGGACGAGGCACGAATCACAAAACAATGTGAGTTTAACATGGCTTTTAGACCACGCGCTGCGACGCACATAAGCGACCGCGTTCTTGCGACGCACATAAGCGACCGCGTTCTTGCGACGCACATAAGCGACCGCGTTCTTGCGACGCACATAAGCAACCGCGTTCTTGCGACGCACATAAGCGACCGCGTTCTTGCGACGCACATAAGCGACCGCGTTCTTGCGACGTACATAAGCGACCGCGTTCTTGCGACGCACATAACCGACCGCGTTCTTGCGACGCACATAAGCGACCGCGTTCTTGCGACGCACATAAGCGACCGCGTTCTTGCGACGCACATAAGCGACCGCGTTCTTGCGACGCAAAACTTAAAGTTACATGTGTTACCCTTACCCTAACCCTAACCTAAACCCTACCCCTAACCCTAATTATGTCATTTGTTTCGTTCCCTCTTTTCCACTCCGTAATTGCACTGCAGCCAGGGGACTGAACTCTGACGAAGCGGCCGTCGCAGTGCAACTAGCGACCGTTATTGCAAGGAGAGCCGTGTGTGTCTTTGTGTGTTTGTTAAGAGACGTTAAAACGTGTTTAAAAAATAAAATAAAAATTAGGTACCTTTAGTTTGTTTTGATAACTATTCGCAGATAAATTTCGGCAGCCCTGGCGGGACGCGCCAGACAACCACCAACGTTAAAAGGAAGATAATTGTGTTTGCTGTGAGCGCTTGTCCCGGTTGGGTGTGCTATTGACCGCCTGCCCGCCCGTTCTTAGGCTGAAGTCATCAAATGTCGTATGTGCGTTTATTGTTGTGTAGCCACTGTGTTCTGCTGTGTTGTTGTTGTTGTTGTCATGATGTGTCATTAGTTTTAATAGTAATGTTTACACGGCACACATCACTACCGACAACACACATACACACGTAACATACGCTAACACATCCATGGTCAGTAATGAGAATAAAAGATAGAGATTAGACGATTGAAGTATAGACAGAGACAACTAGACATATGTAGTATAGACAGAGACAACTAGACGTATGTAGTATATAAAGAAACAAATAGCCGAATGTAGATTAGACAGACAGACAGGCAGACAGAAAAAAACTAGGCTACAGACAATCAATCATCATAATCATATTTGTTCTGTTGTACCACTGTATATCAGGTAGGGTTCCGTTGTACCACTTTATGTCAGGTAGGGTTCTGTTGTACCACTTTATGTCAGGTAGGGTGCTGTTGTACCACTGTATCTCATGTAGAGTTCTGTTGTACCACTATGTCATGTAGGGTTCTGTTGTACCACTGTATTTCAGGTAGGGTTCTGTTGTACCACTGTATTTCAGGTAGGGTTCTGTTGTACCACTATGTCATGTAGGGTTCTGTTGTACCACTATATTTCAGGTAGGGTTCTGTTGTACCACTGTATTTCAGGTAGGGTTCTGTTGTACTACTGTATTTCAGGTAGGGTTCTGTTGTACCACTGTATGTCAGGTAGGGCTCTGTTGTACCACAGTACGTCAGGTAGGGCTCTGTTGTACCACTTTATGTCAGGTATAGTTCTGTTGTACCACTGTATGTCATGTATGGTTCTGTTGTACCAATGTATGTCAGGTAGAGTTCTGTTGTACCACTATGTCATGTAGGGTTCTGTTGTACCACTGTATTTCAGGTAGGGTTCTGTTGTACCACTGTATTTCAGGTAGGGTTCTGTTGTACCACTGTATTTCAGGTAGGGTTCTGTTGTACCACTGTATTTCAGGTAGGGTTCTGTTGTACCACTGTATGTCAGATAGGGTTCTGTTGTACCACAGTACGTCAGGTAGGGCTCTGTTGTACCACTTTATGTCAGGTATAGTTCTGTTGTACCACTGTATGTCATGTATAGTATGTACCACTATGTCATGTAGGGTTCTGTTTGTACCACTGTATTTCAGGTAGGGTTCTGTTGTACCACTGTATTCAGGTAGGGTTCTGTTGTACCACTGTATGTCAGGTAGGGTTGTTGTACGCACACAGTTTGTAGGTAGGGGCTCTGTTGTACCACTTATGTCAGGTATCTCTGTTGTACCACTTTATATCAGTATAGTCATGTATGTAATGTATGGTTCTGTTGTTCCAGGTAGAGTTCTGTTGTACCTCTCTATGTCAGGTAGAGTTCTGTTGTACCACTGTATGTCAGGTAGGGTTCTGTTGTACCACTATGTCATGTAGGGTTCTGTTGTACCACTGTATGTCAGGTAGGGTTCTGTTGTACCACTGTATGTCAGGTAGGGTTCTGTTGTACCTCTGTATGTCAGGTATAGTTCTGTTATACCACAGTATGTCAGGTAGGGTTCTGTTGTACCACTGTATGTCAGGTAGGGTTCTATTGTACCACTATATGTCAGGTAGGGTTCTGTTTTACCACCGTATTTCAGGTATGGTTCTATTGTACCACTGTATGTCAGGTAGGGTTTAGTTGTACCACTGTATGTCAGGTAGGCTTCTGTTGTACCACAGTATGTCAGGTAGGGCTCTGTTGTACCACTTTATGTCAGGTATAGTTCTGTTGTACCACTTTATGTCAGGTATAGTTCTGTTGTACCACTGTATGTCATGTATGGTTCTGTTGTACCAATGTATGTCAGGTAGAGTTCTGTTGTACCACTATGTCATGTAGGGGTCTGTTGTGCTAATGTATGTCATGTAGGGTTCTGTTGTACCACTGTATGTCAGGTAGAGTTCTGTTGTACCACTATGTCATGTAGGGTTCTGTTGTACCACTGTATTTCAGATAGAGTTCTGTTGTTCCACTGTATGTCAGGTAGGGTTCTGTTGTACCACTGTATGTCAGGTAGGGTTCTGTTGTACCACTGTATGTCAGGTAGAGTTCTGTTGTACCACTGTATGTCAGGTAGAGTTCTGTTGTACCTCTCTATGTCAGGTAGAGTTCTGTTGTACCACTGTATGTCAGGTAGGGTTCTGTTGTACCACTATGTCATGTAGGGTTCTGTTGTACCACTGTATGTCAGGTAGGGTTCTGTTGTACCACTGTATGTCAGGTAGGGTTCTGTTGTACCTCTGTATGTCAGGTATAGTTCTGTTGTACCACAGTATGTCAGGTAGGGTTCTGTTGTACCACTGTATGTCAGGTAGGGTTCTGTTGTACCACTATATGTCAGGTAGGGTTCTGTTTTACCACCGTATTTCAGGTATGGTTCTATTGTACCACTGTATGTCAGGTAGGGTTCTGTTGTACCACTGTATTTCAGGTAGGGTTCTGTTGTACCACTGTATGTCAGGTAGGGTTCTGTTGTACCACTGTATGTCAGGTACAGTTCTGTTGTACCACTGTTTGTCAGGTAGGGTTCTGTTGTACCACTGTATGTCAGGTAGAGTTCTGTTGTACCACTGTATTTCAGGTAAGGTTCTGTTGTGCCACTGTATGTCAGGCAGGGTTCTGTTGTACCACTGTATGTCAGATAGGGTTCGATTGTACCACTTTATGTCAGGTAGGGTTCTGTTGTACCACTGTATGTCAGGTAGGGTTATGTTGTTCCACTGTATGACAGGTAGGGTTCTGTTGTACCACTGTACGATAGGTATGGTTCTGTTGTACCACTGTATGACAGGTAGGGTTCTGTTGTACCAATGTATGTCAGGTATAGTTCTATTGTACCACCATATGTCAGGTACAGTTCTATTGTACCACTGTATGTCAGGTATATTTCTGTTGTACCACTGTATGTCAGGTACAGTTCTGTTGTACCACTGTATGTCAGGTATGGTTCTGTTGTACCACTGTATGTCAGGTATAGTTCTGTTGTACCACTGTATGTCAGGTACAGTTCTGTTGTACCACTGTATGTCAGGTACAGTTCTGTTGTACCACTGTATGTCAGGTACAGTTCTGTTTTACCGCTTTATGTCAGGTACAGTTCTGTTGTACCACTTTATGTCAGGTATAGTTCTGTTGTAACACTGTATGTCAGGTACAGTTCTGTTGTACCACTGTATGTCAGGTACAGTTCTGTTGTACCACTGTATGTCAGGTAGAGTTCTATTGTACCACTGTATGTCAGGTAGAGTTCTATTGTACCACTGTATGTCAGGTACAGTTCTGTTGTACCACTTTATGTCAGGTATAGTTCTGTTCCTTAAGTCCGTTCTATCCTGTGCAATTATCACGGATAGATTTCAGCCGAGCAGCCTTGGCTTCTGTCATGTGTATATGGGTGTGTGTGTTCGCGCGTGAGCGTGCGCACATATTTTACCACCCATGCTTTTGTTTTTGACTTTATATATATATATAATATGCATATTATTACATAAATATAACATGCTTCATTGATGAAATACAACTGCTGTGCGAAAGATGGAAGTTTGGAAGGGCCGAATGTAAGACAGGCCTGCATGCCTAATTTGTAACCCTTTGAAAATAAAGTTCGTTCGTTCGTTCGTTCATCAACGTTCGCTTTATTGTTTCTTTTGGACGTCCGCACTTCTTCACTCCTCTTATCTCAAATGTTAATGCCTGCTTGGCGATTCTCTGCTCGTCTTCTCAGAATGTGTCCAATATAACGCCATCTTCTTTGTCTTGTTTCTTCGCCTCTTTTGAATGTATTTTTTTTTAATGTTCAGCGCTTTCCTCAGATTTTTGTTTTGCATTTAACTTTCTTTCCGTGTCTTTATTTGTTCTTCACGTGTCACTGGAATATGTTGAAACTGACCACCCTCCCGCTCTCCCCCCCCCCTCCCCCTTTAAAAAAAACTTAAAGAAACAAACCCAGCAACAACACTAGAACTGAAAAAAAATGTTACAACTATAAGTTGTGGAATTTTGTTGCTCCCAAAAAATGTTCCTTCCTGTGTAGCATAGTGCCTAAATATCGCACTACCAGATTCAGGCCGCTAGATAAAGATTTAGATGTCAGATGGTTCAGACTCGAATGAAGAATTCTCACACTAATGTCTTTAACACACGGGCCTACGTGAGCGTGCCAGCGAACGAAACCTTTTTTTCAACCAGGGCAGCAAAACAGCAGCAGCGGCAGTTAACCCTTTCATTCCTGAAGCTTGAATTGTTGGGCTGCCCCAGTTGCCTGTATGCTCCAGCTGCTAAACACAACAGATCTGTAAGTGAGGTGACAATATCGTTTGTTAGTTAACTCTTTCAGATTTGAAAAGGCACCACATGTACTGGATAATACTGGTGTGTACCAGTCAAGATGTTTTCTATATTATCTGTTACAATTCCATAATTTATTCAGTTGTTTTAGTCTTTGAAGAGCAATTGATAGTCGCCGTTTAATTTTCTTTCATTGTGTCACCATTGTTGGTAACCAGTGACCCAAGATATTCGAAATTTTCCACCACTTCCAATCTTTCCTCATTAACATATATTTCCTTCTCCATGGGCAGTTTTGTTTGTATGCATTATCTTTGTTTTTTGCTATGTTAAGAAATAAGTTATGATTTTCACTATTTTTCTTTGGAGTGAGGTTAATAAGTTTTCTAAACCATTTTGTGATGTTGATAGTAATACTGTATCATCAGCATAACGAATTTCTGGTATTTCATGACCACCGATGTTTAGGGCATCATATTGTTCCTTGTTTATATCATCTCTTTAATTTTTCTCATTATATTTTCGGCGTACAGGTTGAACAAATACGGTGACAGCACACATCCCTGACGGACTCCTTGCTTGATGCCAAACCAGTCTGATGTCTCTCCATCTATTCTGACCTGCTGCTTGTTGGTCTTGATAGAGCATTTTAATGAGCTGCACTATATGTGATGGAAAGCCCATATTCCTCATGATTTCCCAAAGCTTCTGATGTTGTACACAGTCGAATGCTTTTGAATAATCCACAAAACATAAGAACAGATTTACATTAAATTCTCTACACTTCTCTATTATTAAACGCATGTTGAATATATGATCTCTTGTTCCTCTTCCCTGTCTAAATCCAGCCTGAGCTACATTAATCTCTTCTTCCATTTTCTTATGCAGTCTTCTCATTATAATTTTTAGTAGAATTTTACTTGCATGACTGATATCTGAAGTTTACTCAGGCAAAATAGGTCAATCCGAAAACACACGTCAACCTCAATGCTCCGTGTATATTTGTACCACGTGGATGCATTGTACTTATGCTTTTGTTGTCCCCATTATTGCTTCAATCAGGCATAAGCAATGATTTTCTGGGTTTGAAAGAGCTACCGAGTTTGAATTCAATGACGCTTTAGCTTAATTTTCTATGTTATCTAATGGAGTGTTCTTCTACTGGTGGCCGACTGGTGATCAATCCCGGTAGAACATAGCACAGACTGTAATTGTAAAGGTGGAGCAGGCTGGAGATGTGCTAGATTACACATGGTGGACCATAGCACAAAGTGTAATTATAGAAATGGAGCCGGGTGGAGATGTGCTAGATTACACATGGTGGACCATAGCACAAAGTGTAATTATAGAAATGGAGCCGGATGGAGATGTGCTAGATTACACATGGTGGACCGTGGCACAAACTGTAATTGTAGAAATGGAGCAGGGTGGAGATGTGCTAGATTAATGGAGCAGGGTGGAGATGTGCTAGATTACACAAGGTGGATCATAGCACAAACTGTAATTGTAGAGATGTAGCAGGGTGGAGCTGTGCTAGATTACACAAGGTGGACCATTGCACAAACTGTAATTATAGAAATGGAGCAGGGTGGAGATGTGCTAGATTACACATGGTGGACCATAGCACAAACTGTAATTATAGAGATTGAGCAGGATGGATAGGATCGACATTTCTTTTGAAGTCAGAATGCATCTGACTAAGAGGCAATGACCTACAATTCTACAAACAAATGAGCCAGCTCTGTAAAACGAATATTCATGCAAACCTCAGGTTCTGGAACAAGAGCAAATGCCATAAATGGACTCACAAGCTAGGACTTGCCGCTGGAGTTCACAGTCGGTGAATGCAATGAAGAAGCACAGAAGAGCTAGAACAGTCGGATTCATTTCATCATTATATTTCAATACCCCTGTTACCCCCTATGCGCTTCCTCTATGCTGGGCAGATTGTTAAGGTAAAATCAACAAGGTCTCATAGGCTCCATTTATACTTGACTGTTCGAGAGACTGGTTACTGGCTGTCGACCTGCCTGGTTTCTAGAAGTACCAATAGCTAATCTGGAAGATCGGCCAGAGACCCGACATAGTTCTACACTCTGCGCAAAAAAAAAGCCATCTCATCCTGATTGAGCTGCCCGTGGCGTACGAGTAGCGGATCGAAGAAAATCAGCCGTACAAGCTCGAGAAGTACTGTGAGCTTATGGCCGGTCTCATGAGAGATGAATTGTACTTAGTAAAATATCTTCGAGGTAGGCACAAGAGGTCTTATCTTTAAGTCCATGTACAATTTACTAAAGCAGCTGGGCTTGCGAGGAAACGAGCGCAAACGCTCACTTAAACAACTGGGCAAAGCTGCCGAAAGAGCTTCGAGCGGCTCTGGAGGCAACAGGACATCGTGGGGGGTGAGCCTCGATAGACTGGTCCGAGTCTCTGGTGGAAAATAACATCTTATCCCTTAAATGTCGAAGTGTCCGAAATGTCTGCCATTGTCCCTCTGTCGACTGCCAGTTCAAATGCTCAGTCTAACAACAGTCTGATGAACCAACTGAAAGCCTATCCCCATGGTCGTAAGGTAGTCGACTGATCTAATTTGTTACCGCAGCGACACTATCATTAATTCTCACACCTGTTACAAATCACCATATCGAGGAGGGAGAGGAGGAGGAGGAGGAGGAGGAGAAGAAGAAGAAGAAGAAGAAGAAGAAGAAGAAGAAGGCGAAGAAGAAGAAGAGGAAGAAGAGGAAGAAGATGATAAAAGAAGAAGGCGAAGAAGAAAAAGATCAAGAAGAAGAAGAAGAAGAAGAAGAAGAAGAAGAAGAAGAAGAAGAAGAAGAAAAAGAAAAAAAGAATAAGAAGAAGAAGTAGAGGACGAAGAAAGAAAGAAAGAAAGAAAGAAAGAAAGAAAGAAAGAAAGAAAGAAAGAAAGAAAGAAAGAAAGGAAGAGAAAAGAAAAAAAGAAAGAAAGAAAAAGAAAGAAAGAAAGAAAGAAAGAAAGAAAGAAAGAAAGAAAGAAAGAAAGAAAGAAAGAAAGAAAGAAAGAAAGAAAGAAAGAAAGAAAAAAAGAAAGAAAGAAAGAAAGAAAGAAAGAAAGAAAGAAAGAGCTAAATACACAATGACAGTGAAGGAGAAGAAGAAAGAAAGAAAGACAGACAGACAGACAAACGGACAGACTGACAGACAGACAGAGAAAGAAGAAGAAGGAAAGAAAAAGAAGAAGAAAAAGAAGAAGAAAAAGAAGAAGGAAAAGAAAAAGAAGAACAAGAAGAGCCCGCATACAAAACTGTACCAGCAACTGCAACTTGCCAAAAAAAAAAGAAACAAATTGCTTATCGCACTGACGCCGCCCGGCCTCCACGTTTACACGTGTCCGGAAAACCGCCAATTATTCTAAATTCAAATAAGAGTGGCCAGTGTGTTTCTACACGCCCAATTATCTTTATCTGAGCAGATGCCAAGATCTTTGTTTAAGCCCTTGCGTTATAACGGAGAGAATTTGTGTATCTACATAATGGGGTAGATCGGTGAACTAAACACGGAAGGACAGATGAACGGACAGACAGACATTCAGACAGACAGTCAGTAGACAGACAGACAGACAAGACAGACAGATAGACAGACAAGACAAAACAGACAGACAAGACAGACAGACAGGCATGCGGATGGGCAGAGGTGGGAAAGTAGACAGATAATTAGCACATACAAACATACACGTTGATAGGCAATTTAATAAATGTCAACAAATAACAGCAAGTACAACAACAATTA